AAGCCGGCCAAAACAGCAGGCTTGTGCTGAGTTCCCCACTCTCCCATTGTAAATCTAAATCAGCATATGTTCTGCTGTGTCATCAAAACACTGGGGGGTTCCCTTGATGCTTGAGTACCACTGGCAGAGGCACTGAAATTAATAGCATGCCATTAGGACACAATATAAGTTGAATGAGATCTTACTGTTGAGGAGGAAACAAGTTGATGGGAGAAACTTGCAATGGTGTGAAACAAATTTTTATTCTTGATCATTTGTAGTTTCAGCCTCAGCATGCAAACAATCATGCAAAATCCATAGAAACAGAATTTTTGATAAAATCAAAGATTTTATTTTTTAAAAAAAATGGATACTGCCTGATTGTCTTCCTGCTTTAGTAGGGAGTAGAGATGGGTATGAATTGGAAAAATTGCAATTCATCTCAGTTCATAATTCATTTTGGTTGATAAATCATGAATAACATTTTAAAAAACGAATAAATGAATCAATGTGTTCATTTGCTTTGAGTTGAAAAGACTATATAACTGCCCCCAAGGCACTTAGAGATACCAGAATCACAGGGAAACTTTCCCTGACTTGCCTATACAACTCATCCAGGTTTGGTGAAGTTTGGATTTCGGACGGCCAAACTATATACACAGAAAGAGCCCCCCCCCCGGAAAGTGCCCACCTCAGTCAGCTAGGGACAACAACATTGCAGATTAGTGACCACTGACTCTCCTCAACCGTGCCTCCATGTTTAGTGTAGATTGGGTTTTGGTCATCTGAGTTATATACCCACAAAGTGGGTCCCCCAGGAAAGTGACAGTGGTTGCAGTTGAAGCTGAGAGAAACATGGGCACTATAGGCATTTTCCTGATTCACAGAGGGCATATTCCTTTGAACTGTACACGAAGTAATTCCTTGAATATCATAGAATCATAGAAGAGTGAAGTTGGAAGGGGCCTATAAGGCCATCAAGTCCAACCCCCTACTCAATGCAGGAATACAATCAAAGCATATCTGCCAGGTGATTATCTAAGTTTTTCTTGAATGCCTCCAGTGTTGGAGAACTCACCAACTCCCCTGGTAACTGGTTCCACTGCCGTACTGCTCAAACAGTTAGGAAGTTTTTCCTGATATTCAACTGAAATCTGGCTTCCTTTAACTTGAGCCCATTGTTGCGTGTCCTGCACTCTGGGATGATCAAGAACAGATCTTGCCCCTCCTCTGTATGGCAGCCTTTGAAATATTTGAAAAGTGCTATCACATCACACCTCAGTCTTCTTTTCTCAAGGCTAAACATGCCCAATTCTTTCAGCTTTTCATCATAAGGCTTGGTTTCCACCCCCCCTTATCTGAACTTGTTCCAATTTGTTAGCATCCTTCTTGAAGTGTGATGTCCAGAACGGGACACAAGACTCAAGGTGAGGCCTAACCAGTGCTAGATAGAGGGGAACTAGCATCTCAAGCGATTTGGAAATTATAGTTCTATTAATGCAGCTTAAAATAGGCTTTTGAGGGATGTGGTGGCGCTGTGGGCTAAACTGCAGAAGCCTGTGCTGCAGGGTCAGAAGACCAAGAGTCATAAGATCGAATCCGTCGCTTTGTCCCAGCTTCTTGCCAACCTAGCAGTTCAAAAACATGCAAACGCGAGTAGATAAATAGGTACCATCTTGGTGGGAAGGTAGAACGGTGTTCCCTAGTCATGCTAGCCACATGACAATGGAAATTTTCTTCAGACAAGCGCTGGCTCTACGGCTTGAAAAAAGGGATAAGCACCACCCCCTAGAGTTGGACACGACTGGACTAAAAATGTCAAGGGGACCCTTTACCTTTACCTTTTAAAAATAGAATTTGCCATTTTTGTCGCTGGCAGAGAGTGGTTTTTGTGCATCTGCAAGACACAGATTGCTGACAGAGAGGCGTTTTGGTGGGCCTGGGTGTAACAGGAGAGAGGAAGGAACATTGATGTCCCAGAGTGGCAGAAGGAGCATAGAGAGTGAAGGGACTGACAGATGTGAATCTGTATTTGGTAGGTTGAGGAGGCAGAGAGGCTGTAGGATCCCTACTTTGTTGGGTTTACTGTGGGGATGTCCAACAAGGAAAGGTTCATTTTGATAAAAGACAGCCTCTTGATGGTTAAGGGATCCAGATGAGGGCAGAAGGGTCTGAGCACGTTTCCAAGGTGGGAGAAAACATGCTCACTCTGTACACTGGCTGGAGGGATGGAAAGCAGCTCCATGGCCACAGTGGGCAGCTGTGGCCATATGCCCATTTTTGCCCCCAGTACTGGGGGGGATCTGAGTAGGGGATCTGGGGGCGGGCTCTGCCAGGTATTCCCTGACAAGGGACTCAGCAGAGTTCTCCTCTGCCTGTCTGCCTTCCTCTGTGGTGTCAAGTGTGCCCAGGCCATCACTGACCTCCAGTAATGGGGGCTGGAGCCCTAGCCTGCAGAAGTCCCTGCTGTGCCTCCTGGGAACCACCCACCCTTTTGTCTTGCTCACGCCCTCATACCCCTGCCTTGCCACACATTCTCCATTCTCCACTCCTTGAGCTCTTCAGTGCATCCTGCCAAGCTTCCCTTGATGCCAGGGGAGATGGCCAGCCAATCCGTGACACTGATGCCTACCTCTCTTCCCTTAGGGAGAATGGGCATGGGGTTCATGATGTCCTCCAAAATGGTATTCTGCTCAATCATGCAGGATACCATGGAGTAGGTGGAGTTCCACCTGTTTGGAAGGTTCAGCAGAAGGACATGTGTCCCGTGCCCCAACTCTTCCTGCCCCTCACACAACCAGCAGGTAGCTTTCAGGCTGTGTGAGAAATGGCCCACTAGTTGGCAGGAGTGTTCCAGGACTGTGTGTGTCTCCCTCCCAGGTGCCTGCATCCCACTCAGGCTTGATGTGGCTGCCCAGGCCAATGACATCATGTACAACAACGTGCAACTCAAAGTCTGCTGCATTCAATGCCACCAACATACTCCACTTGGCATCTGCGATGTGACCATGTGGTCATGGATGATCTCACCCTCTGATGCCCATTGATGCAGTATGCCCAGGAACTCATTGGCGATGTTCCTCCCCATCACCTGAGCCTCCATGTGCCACACCTGCAGCAGAACAACCATGCAGGTGGCAGGACAAGGGTCTTCCCCCTGTGGCCCTTTTACCAATGCCCTGCCACTCCCCAGGCCCTCCAGCTCCCACCAGTGGGCTGTGAGTGAGAGGTAAGATAAGAATCTTATCTTTTGGTATATTTATGTGTTTCTTTCCTGGACCCTGATATATGGCCTTCACTCTGTCATGGCTGGTTGCCTCCTGCCTGCATTCCAGGACCAGGCCATCTGCCAAGTCAAAAGGAGGGCAAAACGAAGTGTTACAATGACATTCTATAGTATGTATGAATGTTCCTCTATTTGCCTGAGCTATGTGTGCATATTCCTGGGCCTAGTTTTTCTGAGGCCTGTGTTTTCTCTGCTAAGGGTTATACTAAAATCTAGTTTGATTCTGCTCCGGTATCAGTAACATTTGTTGTATTTTTGTGGTGGGCTTGAATACTATTTGTAGATTGTGTTTTTTCAAGTTTCCCCATGTGGTCCATGACCCCATTGATGTATGGCAGAAATACTTTATTTGTGGGTGGCTGTTTTTCTTCTTCAGTTTGGTGTTGTTTTCTTGGTTTGATGGCTCTTTTGATTTCATTTTTGGAGTAGCCATTTGCCTGTAGGGCCCAATTCAGATGGTTGAGTTCAGTGCTGAGAAAGGGAACTTCACAGTTCCGATTTGCACAGTCTACCAGGTGTTCTGATTATTCCTCTTTTTTGCTGTGGGTGGTGGTTGGGGTTTTGGGTAGGTACCTGTCTGTGTGGGTGGGTGTTCTGTAGACCTTGTGTCCCAATAGGTCAGTTTTCCATATGACCATGACATCTAAGAAAGGGAGCTGGCCCTCTATTTCTTTTTCCATGGTGAATTGTGTATTTTGGTGGAGGCTGTTGAGATGGTTTAGAAATTCTTCCAGTTTTTCTTCACCATGGTTCCAAACTGCGAAGGTGTCATCCACATATCGGAACCAGACTGTGGGTGCAAAGGGTGTTGAAGCCAGGGCCTGTTTTTCAAAATGTTTCATGTACAAGTTTGCTATAACCGGGATGAGGGGGCTCCCCATGGCTACTTCATCTGTCTGTTCATAGAACTCATTATCCCACCCTCAACTATCCAAACAAACTGCACCAGAGCACAGACAGAGTTCTGACTCCTATCCTCTGAAGATGCTGGCCACAGAAACTAGTGAAATGAAAGAACGACCTTCAGAACTCAGCCAAAGAGCCTGAAAAACCTACAACCATCAGTATTTTGTTTCCTCTTGAAGGTTTGGGAGGAAATTTGCCTAAATTTGGGCTGCCTAGCACCATAGGGCATCCTCCTCTGAAGCAATTTAAATATGCATTTTGGCTGCTAGAGGCATGTGAAAGCTTTTTCAGTGCCACACACCCCAATTTTTAAAAGAAAATTATTTTGTGGTTTTGGGGGCACAGGAGCAGGCACCAAATGCAAGGGTCATGTATGTGTGTGTGTGTGTGGTCCCAGGTCCCCCAGAATATGCCTTGATCTAAGGCCAGCTCTGATTCATCTCTCTACAGCTTCTTTGACTTGGCCTGTTTTGCAGTAGCTTATGATGAGTGTCTGATCTAGTCATGTTTTGTTGAGTAAATTTAAATTAGTCCTGAATATGTGCAAAAAACTTGAAGACTTGGTTTATCACCATGGTCTACACCCTCATTATCTTGGTTTGCCACAGCTAGCTGGGGTTGGATGACCAGTTAAATCCTAGTTTTTAGAAATGTATTTCCGTAGGATGGCTTTATCCCAGCTCTTTTTGAAGAGGTGATTGCATGGCAAGTATCAAAGAAATTTACCCTGAACTGAAGGATTCTGCCAATGTATCGACACAATTTCCATGGGGAGTATTTGTGCCTATCACTGCTGCAGGACAACATAGAGATGCTGCACTCCTCTCACCTGTGGTGAAGACAGTGGAGGTGAACGCACTCCTCACAGTATCCTGGGCTGCTTGCAGGCGCACGGTGTACTCTGTGTTTTCTGACAGCCCTTCTAAGCGGATCCAAGTGTCTTCTGCATCTACAATCAGCTCCTGCAGCCAGATTACCAAATGAGACAGAAAGCAAACAGAGATAGTAAGGGAGAAGTTAAAGATCACTGTACTACGTAATTAGGCTTATAGATTCTCAGGATTCTGATCCTGAACTCCCAATGTGAACAATAGGGGGCAGGGACTGAGCTATGGCCATGAGGAAGGCATTATAGAGCAATAACAGTCACACCAGCAGGGATACCTCTCGGTCACAAAGGAGGCCACCACAGGTTAAGAACTAAGGAAGCTGCCTTATATTGAGTAAGATCATTGCTCTACCTAGTCAGTATGGTCAGCTCTGACTGGGAGGCACCTCTCCATAGTTTCAGGAAAAGTTGTTTCCCAGCATTACCTGGAGATCCCTGATATTACCTGGTGGTAGTCTCCCGTCCAAGAACCAAGCAGGCTCAACCCTGCTTAGCTCCTGAAATCAGATGAGGTGGTGTGTGTTCTGGGTGTCATGGGGGTACTATATTGTGTGTTATTGCCCAAATTCTGCAAAAGATTCAAGGTCCGGCATGCTCCCTCATCTGAGCAAAAAGCAATTTCTCCAGTGAGAATACTCTTGGGCTTCATAATCTTTTTTTTCTACAAATGAAGTCCACTATCACTTCAAAGGGACTCCTTGAGTTGTATGTGGGATTTTCCATTGTTCTTTGTGTGGATGTTTTTAGCACTGAATATAACAGGGGCTCTACTGATTCCCTGAGGGCAGGTTTCCATCTGCCCTCAAGGAGACACTCATTAGGCCCATAAGAAAGAAACCTAATTTGGCGGCGGACAAAATTGGCAATTATAGGCCCATCGCCAATGTTTCTTTCATGAGCAAAGTGGTGGAGAGGGTGGTGGCCAACCAGCTTTAGGCCCACTTGGACGAGACAGACGCCCTGGATCCGTTTCAGTCGGGCTTCAGGCTACGCTACGGTACAGAGACAGCATTGGTCGCCCTGTACGATGACCTGTTGAGGGAGGCTGATAGGGGCAAAATGTCTCTGTTGGTCCTCCTCGACATCTCTGCGGCCTTCGATACCGTTGACCACGGTATCCTCCTGGGGAGGCTCTCTGAGTTGGGATTTGGTGGCTTAGCGCTAGCCTGGCTCCGTTCCTTCTTGGAGGACCGCCCCCAGAGAGTGCAGCTTGGGGAGAGTGTTTCGGCCCCGTGGAGTCTTAACTGTGGGGTCCCACAGGAGTCGATTACCTCCCCAATGCTGTTTAACATCTATATGAGACCACTGGGTGAGGTCATCAGGGGGTGTGGAGCATCGTGTCATCAATATGCTGATGACACCCAGCTCTACATCTCCTTTTCACCAACTGCAGGTGATGCTGTCCTGTCCCTTCGGCGCTGCCTGGAGACCCTACTGCAATGGATGCGGGAAAACGGGCTAAGGCTGAACCTGGACAAGACGGAAGTTCTGAGGGTGGGTGGCCCCGTGGTCGGCAGCTTGGGTGACTCTGTCACATTTTTTGGGGGGTGACCGTGGCCGTGAAGAGTGGGTTCTGCAGCCTGGGGGTACATCTGGACCCGACGCTCACCATGGAAACAGAGGTGGCGTCAGTAGTCCGTACCGCCTTCTTCCACCTTTGGCGGATCGCCCGGCTGCGGTCCTATCTCGACACGGGGGCACTCACTACCTTGGTCCACGCACTCGTAATCTCAAGATTAGATCACTGTAA